GACTGTTCAGCTGTCAGGCTAGACACCATCCAGTAAGCTTAACCTGCATGAAGTTAGAAGAGAGCTGTTGGACAACTCGTTCAGAGATCTAAGGATGTTATAGGTTATGCCTCCTTTTCCAGGTGGGGTGGCTTTACCTTATTTCAAGGCAGTTTGAAGTTCAAAGGATGTTATGTTATGTCATCTATGTCTGTCTTCTCACAAACAGTGATGATTCTCAGCTTCCTGCTGATACTATTGTTTGTATTTGCTAAGTGAAGCTGAACGTTCTGGGGCAAGCCTTGCAGACTCCGAGTGTTGCATATTGGTCAAGTAGTATGTCGGCATACGTCGTGAGCGAGTGATGTTCAAGCAGAAGTGTGGTCAGTTTATGTAACATTTGGTCAGATGAAGTTTCATGGTTGATTGATACCTTGCAAGAGCTGCTTTCAATGCTCTTTTAATTTCCTGAATTCACGGTGTCCTTTGAGAAACTGAGAGTGAGTCAGCTGTTTTGCAAAATCTATATTTCTCTGCCAGTTCATATACGTACATTCTCACGCTGAGTTCGAAACTGTGAGCCAGTGGTCCACCCTCACTTCCCCTTAGCTCAAGTGGAGCTAGTTCGTTTTATCCAATTATTGCGACAGTTCGTCATTTCAGTAACAAAATCCTCATATAGTACATTCACTGTAACAAAGGTTCATATTTCATACCAGGTGTGACTTGTTTGAAATGCATATGCAAGTTTTCAGGGATTTTACCTGGATTGTACCTGGATTTCTTATTCTTATTTTATTATTTTATTTCAAGTACTGAGGGGTGAGTAGTGTGGTGGTGGTGAGAAATGATAGTGACCTCACATTGCCTACCACTCCTGTCACTGACCTGTCACATTACCTACCTACCTCCTCTCCTCCCACTCCTTCCTTTACTTCCTTATTCCGCCTTATCCCCATTATTATTCCTTGATTCCACCACCCCCTATATGACACCGGGGTTAACGCCCCCGCGGCCCAGTCCATGACCAGGCCTCACAGTAGATCAGGGCCTGATCAACCAGGCTGTTACTGCCGGCCGCACGCAAATCGACGTAAAAACCACAGCCCGGCTGGTCAGGTACTGACTTTGGATGTCTATCCAGCTCCCTCTTGAAGACAGCCAGGGTTCTATTGGTATTCCCCCTAACGTATGCTGGAAGCAGTTGAACAGGCTTGGGCCCTGACGCTTATTGTGTTGTCTCTTAGGTACTCATGGCACCCCTATTTTCATTGATGGGGGGGGTGTTGCACGCCTGCCTGGAGTTTACCTGGAGAGAGTTCCGGGGGTCAACGCCCCCGCGGCCCGTCTGTGACCAGGCCTCCTGGTGGATCAGAGCCTGATCAACCAGGCTGTTGCTGCTGGCTGCACGCAAACCAACGTACGAGCCACAACCCGGCTGATCCGGAACTGACTTTAGGTGCTTGTCCAGTGCCAGCTTGAAGATGCCAGGGGTCTGTTGGTAATCCCCCTTATGTGGCTGGGAGGCAGTTGAACATCTCGGGCCCTGCACTTATTGTATGGTCTCTTAACGTGCTAGTGACACCCCTGCTTTTCATTGGGGGGGATGGTGCATCGTCTGCCAAGTCTTTTGCTTTCGTAGTGAGTGATTTTCGTGTGCAAGTTCGGTACTAGTCCCTCTGGATTTCCAGGTGTATATAATCAGCATCTCTCCCCCCTGCGTTCCAGGGAATACAGGTTTAGGAACTCAAGCGCTCCAATAATTGAGTGTTTTCATCTACGTTATGCGCGCCGTGAAAGTTCTCTGTACATTTTCTAGGTCGGCAATTTCACCTGCCTTGAAAGGTGCTGTTAGTGTGCAGCAATATTCCAGCCTAGATAGAACAAGTGCCCTGAAGAGTGTCATCATGGGCTTGGCCTCCCTAGTTTTGAAGGTTCTCATTATCCATCCTGTCATTTTTCTAGCAGATGCATTGATACAATGTTATGGTCCTTGAAGGTGAGATCCTCCGACATGATCACTCCCAGGTCTTTGACGTTGGTGTTTCGCTCTATTTTGTGGCCAGAATTTGTTTTGTACTCTGATTTGTACTCTGATGAAGATTTAATTTCCTCATGTTTACCATATCTGAGTAATTGAAATTTCTCATCGTTGAAAACTTCATATTGTTTTCTGCAGCCCACTGAAAGATTGGTTGATGTCCGCCTGGAGCTTTGCAGTGTCTGCAATGGAAGACACTGTCATGCAGATTCGGGTGTCATCTGCAAAGGAAGACACGGTGCTGTGGCTGACATCCTTGTCTATGTCGGATATGAGGATGAGAACAAGATGGGAGCGAGTACTGCGCTCTTGATGACAGAGCTTTTCACCGTAGCTGCCTCGGACTTTACTCTGTTGACGACTACTCTCTGTGTTCTGTTAGTGAGGAAATTATAGATCCATCGACCGACTTTTCCTGTTATTCTTTAGCACGCATTTTGTGCGCTATTACGCCATGGTCACACTTGTCGAAGGCTTTTGCAAGTCTGTATATATTACATCTGCATTCTTTTTGTCTTCTAGTGCATTTAGGACCTTGTCGTGTGATCCAATAGTTGAGACAGACAGGAGCGACCTGTTCTAAACCCATGTTGCCTGGGTTGTGTAACTGATGGGTTTACTAGATGGGTGGTGATCTTGCTTCTTAGGACCCTTCAAAGATTTTTATGATGGGATGTTAGTGCTATTGGTCTGTAGTTCTTTGCTGTTGCTTTACTGCCCCCTTTGTGGAGTGGGGCTATGTCTGTTGTTTTTAGTAACTGTGGGACGACCCCCGTGTCCATGCTCCCTCTCCATAGGATGGAAAAGGCTCGTGATAGGGGCTTCTTGCAGTTCTTGATGAACACAGAGTTCCATGAGTCTGGCCCTGGGGCAGAGTGCATGGGCATGTCATTTATCGCCTGTTCGAAGTCATTTGGCGTCAGGATAACATCGGATAGGCTTGTGTTAATCAAATTTTGTGCCGAGTCCTTTGCTTTCCTAAGGAGTGATTCCCGTGTGCAGATCTCGGACTAGTCCCTCTAGGATTTTCCAAGTGTATATTATAATGTATCTTTCTCGCAAGATTGCAGGTCAAGGGACTTCAACCATTCCTAGTAACTGAGGTGCTTTACTGTATTTATAGATGCAGTGAAAGTTTTCTGTATATTCTTCAGGTCTGTATTTCGCCTGCCTTGAAAGGGGCCGTTAGTGAACAGAATAATCGTTGGCTTGGCATCCCTAATTTTGAAGGTTTTCATTATCCATCCTGTCATTTTCCTAGCAGATGTAGTAAAGACATTGTTTTGATCTTTGAAAGTGAGATTCTTTGACATTATTACTCCCAGGCTTTTCGCATTAGTTTTTCGTTCTTTTGTGTTGTTAGACCGACTCACGAAATCGTAATGACACACGGGTTCAAATCCTGCCCGTGGTATGGGGTGTTGTTAGAATTTGTTTTACACTCCGATCTAGTTTATATTTCCTCGAGTTTTCCTCATCGGAGTATTTGAAATTAGTCTTCATATTGTTTTCTGAGGCCCATTGAAAGATTTGGTTGATGTCCGCATTGAAACTTACGGTGTCTTCGATAGATGACACTCATGCAAATTCAGGTATCATCGGCTAAGGAAGACACGGTACTGTGGCTTATATTCTGTCTATGTTAGATATGAAGGTGAGAAAAAGGATGGAAGCGAGTACTGTGCCTTGTGGAACAGAGCTTTTCACTGTAGCCGCCTCTGACTTTACTCTGTTTACTATTATTCAGTGTTCTCTTTGTTATCTACCAACATTTCCTATTATTTCTTGATCACGCATTTTGTTTGCTATTACACCATGATCGCACATGTCAAAGACTTTCACAGTCTGTGTACATTACATCTGCATAGTGTTTGTCCTCCATAGCATCCAAGACCATGTCTAGTGGTCCAGGAGTTGGGAAGTTAGTGCGGGTTATTTGTGTGTAGGTTACATGTATGTGTTAGTCCACAGCCAAGGAAAAGCCGCAGTGCAAACGTATTAGAAACTCCATTCCTGGTGAGAGCTTTAATAAACATGAGTAAAGTCCTAAAGAGGGGGTTCCTCGACGCCTCTAGGACCTGCTGCTAAGAGGTAGGATAAGATTTTGTTCGGGTTTTTAACCCCGGAGGATTAGCCACCCAAGATAACCTAAGTAAGGCAGTGTGTCACCGAGGGACTGTCTTATTTCCATTGGGGTCCTCAGTCTTGTGCCCCAGGATGCGACCCACACCAGGTATCTACTTGCTAGGTGAACGGGACAACAGGTGTAAGGAAACACGCCTTATGTTTTTACCCTTTCCAGGGATCGAACTACAGGTACTCAGCGTGTGAAGCGAGAACGCTGCCTACCAAGTCACCGGCATGGTAGGCCCGTGGCCTTGGATCGAACCTGGTTGCCTCTCATTGCTCCTGACGCTATGTGACCCCTACTGATTTACTGCTCCCCTCATAATAATAATAATAATAATAATAATAATAATAATAATAATAATAATAATAATAGCCCCCTGTAAGAAAGCTCCAGTCTTCTTGGAAGTCATAACCTGTGTAAGAACACCTTGGTCTTGCTGGAAGTATTCAAGTATCTCTTTAAAAGGAATCCTCATTTGTTGTGTATATGTCAGTGAAGAAACCCAGCTGATGTAGACTTACACAATACAAATGTAAGTCTTTTTCGGCATAATTAATGCACGCCCTGTCATTATGTTTTTAATACAAAAAGTATCTTAAATGTCAAAACATTTCATGGAGCAATAGGTTTAATTAGTTTCAAAGTTGTTAATGTACTGACATACTGCACACCATTTGACTTTTTCAAACCTCGCGCCAGCACTGAACGATGACTATCTGATTTTATTCATTTATAATATTTTGTTAAAAAAGATGCTTTTAAAGTAAATCTGATGATTAACGAGTCTTTAAACACATGAAATTTAAGAGTAGAGAATTAGTATAGTAATTACGTCGTCTGCTGCGTGGGTGCAGACGACGCTGCCTGTGTCCAGAAGATGAAGCCTCTTGACAGGCAAACTAGTATAAAAACCTGTAAATATATGCATTTAGAGCTTTGGCTTTCACATATTTTTGCTGCAGCTTCCATATCTATCAGCTGGCATCTATGTGGCAGTAGAGGGTGTATTAAGGCAAGTTTTGCTGCGCCTGATGATGGACCAGTCACCTCCACCCGAAATAGATTTGGCGAGTTTCCTGTAGTTGGCGAGACCAAGACAGTGAGTGTGTGATCCTGCTGTAGGCCAGGGAGGAGGAAATATCTCCTGCAGAGACGCCACCCCCCGCCAAGATGCCCACGGCAGCCTCCTCAGCAACGAAAAAGGCACGACCCACCCACCAGTACCAAAGGTCGCCCATCGAAAAGGGCCGGTGGGCAGCCAAAGGCACCAAGCCACTGCCTGAACAAGCTACTGTTCAATAAGTTCTAAGTTTAATTGTCGTTCATGGCTGTCGTAAAGTCCTTTTTATCCAGACAGAAGTAAAAATTATGTTGTATTCTATTGGACTTTTCTTTGGATCACTTTTATGTGATTTCCTTCCCTTACCAAAGGCTTACATGGGACAAAAAGATAATATATTCAATGTATATTTTGTCAAAGTTGGCTGGGCTTGGACGATTCTTGTGGTGGGAGCTTTCATTCTCTTGACCAGTGCTACAATTGGTTGTGGTCATCGAGAAATTGTCAAAAGACATATGTCTAGATTAATTGTTGGTACATGTTTGTGGTTCTTCTGGAGTCAGTGGTTCTTCAGTTTTATTGAAAACCGAACAGGTTCTTGCCTTGGGAAAGCAATAATAAGAAACAAGTATGATTGTAATAGCGGAGGTTTCCACTGGCATTCCTTCGATATATCAGGTAAGTATTTAATATTGCAGTGTATGAAGGTACATATATACTCTGTAATGTCATATCTATAGTGTATGTTACTGAAGAAGTCTCCTTAATGTCAGTGAGGGGTTCTTGATCTAAGGAATTGGACCTGTGTTTCCCTTCCTTGGATTGAACCTGAATGCCTTTCATTCCTCCAGGCACTATATAACCCATACGAGTTCACCGCTGCCATATAAATGTAATAATAATGTACTGAATAAGTTTAAATTTCCATTTGACACCTTTTCTAGTGTATGAGCCCATTAAGTTTCGATTTTTTCTCTTGTATGATATTTAGGAATGTATTTTAAAGATTGTAATGTCTGTTTTGAACAGAATAACTGAGAGACCCAGTCATTCAAGGCAGGATGCAAAAGCAATAAAGCACATCTTTATATTTGTACCCCAAAGGGCCCTCCTTACCTTATATCACTCTCTAATATACCCTTACCTAACCTATGGTATTTGTACCTGGGGATCTACCACGGCCAGTCGCCTTAAACCGTTAATAACCCAACAAAAAACAGCAGTGCGAATGATCACAAACTCCAGCTCCAGACAACACACCCCACTTCTCTTCAAAAGCATGAACTTACTTAATATACACACTTATTATTGTGCCTACTATATATACAGAACATTAAACTCAGATATCAACCCTCTGTTCAAACTTCTCCTAGATAGCTTCAACAGAACACACAGGCATAACACGAGGCACAAAACATTTTTTGACATTCCTCGGGTCCGTCTCACACTATGCAAAAATACATTGCACATAAAGGGCCCAAAGATCTGGAACTCTGCCTGAAACAGCAAGAGGTCCCATGCTCACAAATCAGTTTAGGACCGTACCCAAAAATCATCTCATCTTGCAATAACAAACATACCCACACTATGCTAAACTCTAACCAAACTTAAAGCAACTTTCCCAGATATTTTATTATCCCTTAACTATTAAGCCATTATTGCATACTTAAAAATGTATGTATGTATCATTAATTGTACTACCTCATATTAATAATAGAGTGAAATACTGAATATTTGTATTATGCCAATCTTCACCTGTCTAGACTCAAGTAGACTTTTAAGTACAGCCTCTCCTCACTTAATGGCAGAGTTCCGTTCCCAAGACCACATCGGTAAACTAATTCGTTGCTAAGTGAGGAGCATACTGTAATGGTGGTGGGTCTGTGTCAACCATATTTGATATCGTTTTAATATCACTTTTGCACCATTTATAACATTTCTGGTAACTTTTTAAATGTTTATTCAGCAGTGTACCGAATATTGTAATAAAGAGAATAGAGGAAATCAGCTCCAATATACATTATTTAGATATGAATACTGGTCAGAGAGCCCATCGTAAGTCCGAGTCATCGGTAAACGAGTACGTCACTAAGCGAGGAGAGGCTGTATTAGGTTAAGTCTACCCGAAATGCCTTGGCATGATAGTGGCTTTCTTTGTTCCAATCAAATTATAAAATGTAAACACATACAGGTACCATCCGACTTACGACCGAGCTTGGTTCCGACCAACTGGTCGTAAATCGAAATGGACGTAAGTCGAACCTTACTACTGAATATCAACATCACATTTTTGTAATGACTTTATTTTATTGTTTTATTTTGGTATTTCGTTTTTTACTTTACTTTTTATGCTGTTAGTACTGTATTTTATACTGTAAGGTTTAGGATAAACACTGTGTACAACACAAACAGTTGTTTATTTCCCAGAAATTTGGCATAAAAAACACGGTCGTATGTCGAGTGGCCATATGTCGAGCAGGTCGTAAGTCGGACGGTAGGTGTATTTGTAGCCTTTGTAAAAAATAAAAAAAATTTTTTATTTAATTTTATTTATTTATTTAATTTACTTCATTTCTGCCCCCAAAGTATTAGGTTACCTTTATATGATATGTAGCAGAGAGAGGGAGAGAATTTTGAAGACAATTGTTGTGACACTTATTATCTCAAATACAGTGTTCCTTCATTCTTGTTCTTATTGCTTGGGTGCATTGAAAATTGGGGTGGGCAAATATTCTGCTAGTGGAATGGATTGTGAAGGACCTGCCTTGTATGGGCCAACAGGCTTACTTTGGTGTTCCTCCTTTCTTATGTTCATATGTTCTTATAACCATACCAGACAGACTTCCACTCATCAACCTAAGAACATAAGAAAGGAGGAACACTGCAGTAGGCCTGTTGGCCTGTACTTGGCAAGTCCTTCACAAATCCAACCCACTAACAGAATAAACGCTACTCAAGCAATAAGCCTTGATAATTCTATTTACTCGCATGTAAACCCCACTCAAATACAACCCCTCTCACTCGTGTATTTATCCAGCCTAAATTTGAAACTACCCAAGGTTTTAGCATCAATAGGACCTTGGGTTGCTAGGTAAGACACCATTTTAATATTCAGGACCTTGGGTAAAGGGATGGGGACTGTAGTGGCAGGCTTCCTTTTGAAGAACATTTTGATAGGCAACTGAGACTGTTTCTTCATATCTATAAACAGTTTTGTAGGGAATTATGCCTCTATCAGCGTCGTCCATGAACTTCAAAGTCCTCAACATAAATATGATTTGGCGGCTGGGAATTCGCGAATCTGTGAAGCCCGCGAAAGTTGAAAACACGAATGTTGAGGGAGACCTGTATTTTCTTCTGGTCAAAATGGTGATATTTCTTCATTTGTCAGAATATCTGCACAGTTTAACCCCCAGTGTTTTTTTGCATTTTTTTGTAAATTCAACAAATACATACATGCATTTTAAAAAATCTGAATTATTTTGAGTAACTCTTGGCTATAGTTTAAAACAGCCTGAAATGCTCATACATGTTACTAGCCTTCTCTGTGCTTAACAGTATTTTGCTACATGTAAACTACATATTGTATATTATGCTAAGAAATACACGTAAATTTTTTAATTTGAATTTGAGGGTTTCCAGTGGCTTACATACTGAGTTTCCATGGTTCAATTCCCAGCATGAATGGAAACATTGAGCATGTTTCCTTACACCTGTGACCCATGTTCGCTTAGTTGTAAGTAAGTATCTTGGTGTTAGTTGACTGTTGTGGGTCATCATGGGGGTGGTAGTATACTGAGATTGGGCTGGGCTTTGAAATGAGCTGAGGTAGGATAACAGCTCTTAGCCCTTAAAATTAATTTTTGTAAAACAAAAAATACCATACTATACTGTACTCAGTAGAACTCTGTCATTAGTTTACATTTCATAAGGCTGATGCTGCTCCAGTAACTAAATATAGCCATAACAATTTTATAGTTTTTCAGCTAACATATGCAGTATTTAGAGATGCGTACTTCTGTAAGGTTATCTTAATTATCAAAAATATTACATTATAACTACTGTACATCAATTTAATAAAGATCATGAATAAGATATGTTTAATATTGTTATTGTTTTACTATGTAAAACAAAACAATCCAGAAAGTTCTATAAAAGAAATAGCCTAGAACAGAAAGCTAAGTTTTTAATGAAAGTCAAAATACAGGTGTATTACAAACTGTTATTTTAAATTTCCTCAATGGTTGCATTAAGTACATACATATTAAATACATATATTATTTATATTTATGGGGGGTTCCTTTTTACCTTATATGTATAGGCACAGAAATATGTCATTTTGTGCTCGACAGATGAAGATTACAGATCATTGAAACTTTCAAAATGACAAGACATAACGGTTTGTATTGTATGCAGTATTTGCAACAAAAAAACAAGTATATGAAGTTGGTTAAATTAACAATACAGTACTCTGCAGCACATGTTGAATATTTACATAGATGTTGAATTACATTACAAAATTATGAGCTATAATTTGCAATATACTGAATACAATGGTAGTCATGCATTTTGAGTTTATTATACTCATGAAACATTTCACATAACCCATCTTCCAAAGCATTGATTCATAAACTTTATTTTTGGCCAAGACTCAACAGATAACTTATGACAAATAATGGAATAAATACAATTACGATAATATCAGAAGAAGTTGGATAATTTTTTGTACTGACCAGGAATAATCGGTTACACATGACAGCTTTATGTCTGGATGAACTTTAATAAAAAAAAATATACTATGATTAACTTGTAACTGAAACTAACCTTGTGCTGAAGTCATCTGTACCTATATTCAGTGCACATTTCATTACTAAGCTACAGAGTAGCAGCTTTATTGCAAATTTATGTCACTGTAGTGTACTTGCAACCCTCAACCTGTCCTTCCTTTTCCTTAGATCAAACCTGATTTCCCTCCATTACCCAGACACTGTATGACCCTTATGGGTTTAGTACTTTTCCATGAGCATCATAACTCAGATACTATAGTATCTGTAGCTCATATTGCTGCATCCAAAGATTAATGGAAATTAGAGATGTAGTATAAAATCACACTGAATTGAGTTTTGTAAAAATATATTTCTTGAAGATGCAAAATTCAAGTTGAATAAAAGTTGTTCCATACTTGAAAATACATGTACTGTAATTCAGATGAGCTATTACAGGTGAATTGAATACATAAATTTGGGTAGAAAATCAATAATGTTATAATAAGATTATCCTTGGGAAGTAATAAACGAGGCTCATCATCCAGGGGGGCTCTTAAGGAGAGAGGTACCTTTTTTTTTTTTCCACAGGGTTTGACAAGGTTAGGTTAAGGATCCCTAACTTTATTGGCAAGCTAGTGACAAGTTAAGGATTCCTAACTTTATTGACAAGCTAAGAGCTGGTACCTACATCAGCTAATCTAAAAGCATTTATTGTTATGAAACATACAAGTAGGGAATAGGATGAAGTTGGAGCCATCTGCTGGTGCTGGTGAAGGATTTAATTCAAGGAATTAGAACCAAATGCCCTTCTCTTCCTCAGATCAAACTTGACCATCTTCTACCCCTCCCATTCCCCAGGTGTTGTATAAACTTTACAGGTTAAGAGCTCTTAATCAATATAATAATATTAATCATTTAATGTCATATTTTGCAGGTATTAAATCTAAACCTAAGACATATCATCATATGATCATTACTGAACACTCCCGTGTACAGAATTTAGAGCTCTCTTCTATTAATTGTTACTTTTCACAGGGCATGCCTTCCTACTTGTCTATATCAACTTACTTATTGTGGAAGAGGCAAAGGCCATCGTGGGTTGGGAAGGTATTCGTGATCAGATACGAATAGAGGGTCACAATCGTGGAGACACTCAAAGTCACTCCATTGAGAATAAAACACCTTTGGAGGGTCTTTCAGAAGAAGAAATGGTTATACTTAAGGTATTTCATTCTCTCATTAATTACCACTTCCATTTCAATTATTTTTCAAGTAAAGTACAGGACTAGAAACAAAGTAATAATGGGCCTCATGTAAGAAAAGAAATCTTCTGTAACATTACTATATAACTGGTATACTTTTGTAATAGTGTTCCAAAGTGTTTATTATGCTGAATATATTTCACTAGATATAATAAGACCCTTTTTAATGAGTCATCAATTACAGCAATTTATCTCTTACCCTCGTCTCCCCTCTTAATAAATACTGTAATCTACGGGTCTTCCTAAGTCAAACTTTGGTATCTTCCCATCCGAGTCCTCTGGCTACCAAATGTGTAATTTTTTCAACTTTTTGCACAAAAACTGACATTTATGTATTTGCAGAGAGCATTTTAAAATTATATAAATTTGTGCTTGCAGATTGTGGTATTTCATTGGGAAGAACAGTATGGATGACTCCACTGTACTCATGAAAGCATCTCAACTTTTTGGAACTATATTTCTTTTCCATTATCTAAACATTTTATGTTTATTCATATTTTTTCCTTAATTGGGTAGAAGCTTATTGAAATTTAGTAGAAATTTTCATGATAATGAATTAATTCTAACTCTTGTAACCACTATATTTTCCTGTTGTAACTGACTTTATTTTACACATTATTTGATAAGTTGGATATACACTACTAAGGCATATTTTATTTTAAGAAAAAAGAAGAAAACATTCAGACAATAATTATTATTGTTGATTTTTAATGTGCATTAATTTACATAAGTTGTGAGTAAAAATTGGTGTGGGGATTAGAATTTGCCCAGCATATTGTGCATACTGTGCTGTGTAATGTAATTGCAAATCAAGATTTTTTCAAGCAAAAAATTTCGGCATATCTTCATAAAAGTTTAAAATTGAGCTTAGTTTTATGAGAATTTACCATTTGAAAATTAGATACAGTATTTTATTCTTTGAATTTTAAAGTTTCAGTACTTTTCATGTGGCTAAAAACGTACGTGCAGATCAGGACATTTACTAAAACATTTTGTACGTTGTGATTTTGTCAGTCCTAACACAGACAATTAAGAAAGGAGTATATATAGAGTGGCAGAAGCCAGCTGACCTGAAGTGATATAGTAGTAGTAGTAGTAGTAATAGCAATAGGAAGTAGTAAAGCTATTAGTGAGAATGGTTGAGTTTGAGAAAGATCTGCCATCATGGGCCAGTAGGCCAACTGTAGTTCTCCTCCCTACTTATATTCTTAAATAAGTATCAAGTGATGGCTGTAGGCAACATCCTGTGTGCCAAGAGTTAGGATATGCTGAAACTGCGAGATTTCTTTGGTATGGCGTTAGTGACAGCAATTAAGGCAGCTTCCATACATTTTCATCTGCCCAGATCATTTTCACAAATGGCTAAATTGAACTCCTTCCATTTCATAAGGTGTACAACATCTTATCTATATTGGACACAGGCATTGCTATCATTTTCCTGGCTGCAGGTATACTTGTATTCATGGATCCTAAGCTGCAGAGTTCTTGCATCTTACCCCTCCCCCCCTTTCTATATTTCATTTCTAACCCCCTACAGGCAAGAAAGATACATGATAATATACACTTGGAAAATCCAAGAGGGATTGATACCAAACTTGCACACGAAAATCACTCCCTGTGAAAGCAAAGGACTTGGTAGGAGATGCAACATTCCCCCAATGAAAAGCAGGGGTGCCATGAGTACACTAAGAGACAAGACAGTGAGTGTCAGGGGCCCAAGACTGTTCAATTGCCTCCCAGCATACATAAGAGGGATTACCAATAAACCCCTGACTGTCTTCAAGAAGGTGCTGGACAGGCACCTAAAGTCAGTACCTGACTAGCCGGACTGTGGTTCGTACATCAGTTTGCATGTGGCCAGCAGTAAGAGCCTGGTTGATCAGACCCTGATCCACCACGAGGCCTGGTCTTGGACTGGGCCGCAGGGGCGGTGACCCTCGAAACCCTCTCCAGGTATACATATGTATACAGTGGACCCCCGCTTTACGATCAGCTCCCAATGCGACCAGTTATGTAAGTATATTTATGTAAGTGCGTTTGTACGTGTATGTTTGGGGGTCTGAAATGGACTAATCTAATTCACAATATTCCTTATGGGAACAAATTCATTCAGTAATGGCACCTGAACATACTTCTGGAATGAAATAATATCGTAAGCCGGGGTCCACTGTATTTCCCTTGCCAGCGATAGTTGCTCTTTTACTTGCACAGCTCTAGTACATGAATGTACAGTAGACTCCTACAGAATTCAGTAATTATGTTCTGAAGACTGTTTTATGTGAAATCTGCTACTTGAAGTAAAGAACTCAACTTCTGGGAAAACAAGATTTGGTTTCTGAGACATTGAAAAAGCCATAAAAGATTACCTAAGACAATTTTTTTATCTTCAATTCTGGCTCGTGGTGCCTGCAGTTCTTGACATGTAGAGAGGATTGGTGTGGTCCTACTGGGCCGAGGTAGATGGCAGTGGTTCTTGGGCTGAGGTGGATGGCTGCAATTGTCTAGTTGATATCAATGCAGAATTATTAGTAAATGATGGTTGTACTGGAGTTCTCAGGTATTCTGTAATGCATCATTGGTCTCTTTTACCTAGCATTTCTTGATATACTTCACAGTAATGCTTCTAGATATCAAGGTCATTATTATTGCAAAAGTCAACTTCCTGCATATCTTCAAACCCTTACCTGGCAGATTCACAGTATCATGGCCTTGACTATCTGTTGAGGACAAAGCTTTTGTAATTATTTACCACACTAGGCCATACTCTCCCCAGCCTGCATTTATTGTTGATCAGGGAACTTCATTCCATATAACTCTTGCATCAGCTACTTCTGCAGTGTTAAATTTATGCCCGAACTCTGGCACTCCTCTATCTGAGTCTTCATCCACTGCTGTGATGAGTTTCTGCTCTCTGCCCTGGATGTATAATAGTACTTTTCTATTTATTTTATTAACACATTGGCCATTTCCCACCAAGGCAGGGTGGCCCAAAAAAGAAAAACTTTCATCATTCGCTCCATCACTGTCTTGCCAGAGGTATGCTTACACTACAGTTATAAAACTGCAACACTAACACCCCTCCTTCAGAGTGCTGGCACTGTACTTCCCATCTTCATGAATCAAGTCCAGCCTGCCGGTTTCCCTGAATCGCTTCATAAATGTTACCTTGCTTACATTCCAATGGCACGTCAAGTCTTAAAATTAATTTGTTTCCATTTGCTCCATCTAACATGGTCGCACACGCCTGTTGGAAGTCCAAGCCCCTCGCACACAAAACCCCCTATACCCCCTACTTCCATCCTTTCCTAGGCTGACCCCTACTCCGCCTTCCTTCCACTAGAGATTTATACACTTTCGAAGTCATTCTATTTCATTTCAGCCTCTCTACATGTCCAAACCATCTCAATAACCCCTCCTCAGCCCTCTGGATAATAGTTTTGGTAATCCTACACCTCCTACTAATCTCCAAACTATGAATTCTCTGTATTATATTCAAATCACACATTGCCCTCAGACATGACATCTCCACTGCCTCCAGCCTTTTCCTTGTTGCAACATTCACAACCTATGCCCCACACCCATACAAGAGCATTGGTATAACTATACTCTCATACATTCCCCTCTTTGCTTTCATGGATAAAGATGTTTGTCTTCACAGACTCCTCAGTGCACCACTCGCCTTTCTTCCCTCGTCAATTCTATGATTCGCCTCATCTTTCATAGACCTATCTGCTGACATGCCCATTTCCAAATATCTGAATACATTCACCTCCTCCATACTCTCTCCCTCCAACCTGATATCCAATCTTCCATTACCTAGTTTTTTGGTTATCCTCATCACCTTACTCTTTCCTATATTCACTTATAATTTCCTTCTTTTACATATCCTACCAAACTCATCAATCAGCCTCTGTAACTTCTCTTCAGAATCCCAAGAGCACAGTGTCATCAGCAAAGAGCAACTGTGACAACTCCCACTTTGTGTTAGATTCTTTATCTTTCAACCCCACACCTCTTGCCAACACTCGAGCATTCACTTCTCTTACAGCTCCATCTATAAATATACTGAACAACCATGGTGACATCACTCATCCCTGTCTAAAGCCTACTTTTACTGGGATATAATCTCCCTCTCTACTGCATACTCTAACCTGAGCCTCACTATCCTTGTAAAGACTTCATTGCTTTTAATAACCTACCTCCTCTTCCATACATCTGCAACATCTGCCACATTGCCCCCCTATCCACTCTATCATATGCCTTTTCCAAATCCATAAATGCCACAAAAACCTCTTTACCCTTATCTAAATACAGTGGACCCCCGCATAACGATCACCTCCGAATGCGACCAATTATGTAAGTGTATTTATGTAAGTGCGTTTGTACGTGTATGTTTGGGGGTCTGAAATGGACTAATCTACTTCACAATATTCCTTATGGGAACAAATTCGGTCAGTACTGGCACCTGAACATACTTCTGGAGAGAAAAAATATCGTTAACCGGGGGTCCACTGTACTGTTGAACTATATGTTTCACTGCAAACACTTGGTCTACACATCCCCCTACCCTTCCTAAAGCCTCCTTGTTCATCTGCTGTCCTGCTCTCCATCCTACTCTTAATTCTTTCAATAATAACTCTACCATACACTTTACCAAGTACATATACTCGACAGACTTTTTTCTTTCTTTCAACAAACCGGCCGTATCCCACTGAGGCAGGGTGGCCCAAAAAGAAAAACAAAAGTTTTTCTTTTTAAATTTAGTAATTTATACAGGAGAAGGGATTAATAGCCCCATGCTCCCTGCATTTTAGTCGCCTCTTACAACACGCATGGCTTACGGATGAAGAATTCTGCTCCACTTCTCCATGGAGATAAGAGGAAATAAACAAGAACAAGAACTAGAAAGAAAATGGCAGAAAACCCAGAGGTGTGTGTGTAGTATATATATGCTTGTACAT